GTGAAGCTTACCACAAGATACATATTGTCCAAGAATGAAAATAAATCTTTGATTAGCTACAAAATCTAAGATATTAAAGATTAAACTGATAGGATATTGTGGGCAATAAGTTGAAGATTCTAGACTTTCCACTAGAGGGAAGTGGACATTGGTCAGTCTATTTAAAAGAATAGAGTGATATTAATAAAGAGAAAATGATGTCATATAAGATGAGGTCTAAAGGATGATAAAGACTATCGGCAGCGTGCACGGAGACAGGTCTTCAGTTGACGGATTATCAACATGGCGTCATCAGCCGACATTGGCAGGAACAGTCCAACTTGTCTCTGTCACTGTCAATTGCTTACACATGATGGACAATTCATTGCATAAAAACCATCCAGGCCGTGATTTAAAAAGAAATCAGTGGCTAATATTGGATAATAATGAAGCGGATTGATGAAGCGAACACCCTGTAGTCTCTTTGCTAATATTGGATCAATGAAACTGCTTCCAGTGTATCGATCAATGAACATTGAACGGTTTGAATCTCACTAAAGATAATTAACATAGTATCTAAAGCTGAAAAATATTCCCAATATCATCTTTTAAAACACAAATATTATCTAACTAACTACTAACAACCTGGTTTTAATATAGCCCATAGGCGACATCCAGTGTCTTGACCAGTTCCATAAGATTAGAAGTACCATTGGAACCATTTTTATATACATATATATACATATACACTGACATCTCTCTATATATTGATATTGTCTTATACTGTACTCACCTAGTGATTAGACCGCCGTATCAATTCATTCTTCCATATTTCCAGGCCATATATCTTCCTTTAAAAAATCCGTCACTTCCTCCCCCCACCCAATTTAAAAACAACTCATAAAAAACATGCGAATTCTTTCAAAAGTTAAAATAATCCATTAGGCAATGGTAAAACCTCACAATACAATCGAATCGGATATATTCACGAGAGAGAAAACAGGTATGCATAAATCACCTCGCAATGAAAGCGAGGCTAACGATGGCGCGTGCAGCTTTGTGCCAGCTGTTGGCTCCAAATATTGGATGTGTAATTATTCCGAGAGTCGGTCTAATAACAAGCATATGGTAACTAGCCCACTAAACCACACACTTTAATAGTATATACTTCTCATATACAACTTGAATATTATATAAACAATCTACACAACACTACCGTCTTTGTCAGAATGGCGCTTCACATCGAATTCTACCCAAAACCTCGCCGCCGATTCCATCATATTATAACAGGAAATGGTTTTATTATAATGAACGCCGATAAGCGCCACTATAAGATTATATACAAACATCGAAAGGTGAAATTTTCATTTGGCCTCTTATAATATGTTAAGCTCGCATCTTTTAAACAGAACACTCGTCTTTAGTAATGACGTAATCTTAATCAAAGAAGCTCCTGTGAAAAAAACTGCAGTTATCTATTACATCAAGAAGAAGATACACAGTGAAATTGAAACCATGTCAAATTTGGTCTAGCCTTCACCTTCACTCCCCCATCATTAGAAAAAGAACACTGGTTTAAGATTCTGTAATAAGTAGACTATGTAAACTTTAGAGGTTCATAACCGTCGGAGGTTGCTGGGATTAACACCTGATGTCATACAGCGATTGATTTGTCAAATTGTCTTTGAGTAGAAATCAGCGGCTGTGACTTTAATTGCATTTCATTCAGTCTTGACGCCACAAAATTTATGTGGTTTTAATTTTACAAGCATTCGTACAAATGGAGATAATGTCCATCTCTTTCACAAACCAGTTCGATTAGAATTATCCGAATAGTGCATAATATATAATAATTCATTTCCTTGAATAGAAATTCAATATCAGATTTAAATTGTAAGAGTTACTGATAAAGAACGCTTAGCGCATATTATAGTATTACTTACTTTTTGAATAACTACAAAGATTCTCAAGTTACTCATGTCGTCATTAGAAGAATGACATTTACATTCAATAGGCTAAAAATTAGAATATCTTCAGACATCATATCATATTTTTCTACAAATCTAAATAAATACATCAGATGAACAATATTCGACCAAATTAATCTCCTAGAGCGGAACCGAAGTGACACAGAGCGGTACAAGTGCTATCGTCTAGAAGCGACAGCCGCATAATAGACCATTTCTGTGTATCTGAATTTTCATGACAGTATATTCGTTACTATATAAGAGAATATTTTGGAACCTGATAACATTACTGAATAAATGGATTTTTATGACATCATAGAATGTTTACAAAAATATGCGCATTTTCATGGCCTAATGGCACATGGCACGCATGTTAAAAGTTCATGACGTCATAGCATATTAACTCAATATGTCAATTTTTAGTGACATCAAAGTATCTTTATTTTAATTCTTAAATATTTTATATAACATATTCATCCAATATGTAAATAATTCCTGATATTTTTCACGTTTATATACAAGATTTTAATTTTTCATGACATCATAGCACGTTTTTCATTACATTATGACATACATGTATTTACTAAATATTTGATATTAGGGCCATTCATATCATTTTAACTTTTTTTACCCTCAATATATGAATAGTATAATATATACCATTATGCCATCTGGTATAATCTGGCAGTTGGGCTTTTTTAAATAGGCCACCGTTTTCCTCCTATTTCAAACTACCCCACTACTTAATTAACCAAATCAAACTTCTGCATTTTCGAATTTGTTTTCTTACATTGAGCAAACATACTTTGAAAAAGATCAGTATTTAGTTGACTAATCGATCTTCTCGCTTTATTCGATCAGTATCAAGTTGACCAACGGTCTTCTTACAGTTAGTATCATATTGAACAGTCTATCCTCTTACTTTAAGAAATCAGTTTTAGATTTTACTAATCGGCCTTCTAACCTTGGCAGTGGCGTAAGTTTTTGGGCCATGCACCCCAGCCCCTCCCTCTCTGCCGATGAAAAATTTACTCAACTTCCAAAATCGCGTTGGATGTATTCTCCAGCTTCCCAAAATTTTCCTGGGGAAGGTCGCCCCCTTACCCCAACCATGACTAGTGCCCTCTAAAATGCGCAAAGGGATGCCGGGGGCTCGGATGCTCCTACCCCAAATCTAGATGAGTTTAATCTTTAATTAATTCTATGTAGGCTATCTATAGAAGGTATAATCTCATTATTGTTAAATCTGACATCTCACATGGATTAAACAGCGAGACAGAATGTGTTGATAGTATTGATTCCTTTTTACACAGTAGCAGTATTGCATGGCACGAGAGACAACTCGAGTTACTATAATACTGGCTGACATAGTCTTTTGTGGTCTGTAGCTACGAGTATACTCTTGAGTTATCTACCTTTAATTATTTCACTTCTGGAAACGTAATGCATTCTGCAATTCTACTCTTATGGCTTCAGAAGTCGAAAACAGTTTCTTGATACATCGAATCTCTTACCTTGTGGTCTTTAAACTATGGTTTAAAATGAAATGTAGGATTTGTAGGCTATACAGTACCTTTTCGCCGCATGAAGATTTATCGATTCAGCCTTTCTGGCGAGCAGAATATTGGGAAACAAGGAACATCCGATTTTGAACCGAACTAAGGTAGCCTACCAGTAGGCCTACGGCAATTTCAGATGGTCAAATATTGTTTCATCTATCGATGTGTAGCCTAATAGATGATTACATAAAAACAAAGCATGCTTCTCGTACAAAATTATGTCAGATACATTTTACCGATCGAGTTTGCTCATGGCGTTGAAGGCAGCTTCTTAGAAGGTTTTTGACATAAAAGTGCTTCTTTTCTGATACGTGCAGTTCCACTAGTGCAATTTTATGAACGTGCCATCTTACATGCTGATTGTCTTAGAAGATTTTTATCTGTGAAGATCAGACCAAGACTAATTTTGTGTTTGGCGGCTTAAGATATTTCAGGCCTAGACCTATAGGCTACAGGTAAGGAGTGTTTCCATTTCCGAACTATTAAATTTCTTGTAAAGTCAAACGGTCACCATAAAAGATACATTTACTTACGCAATCCCATACAAAATAGAATTACAATCATTCCGACATATTCATAAAAAGCATCCAACTCCAATATGCGGTCCACTTTTCAACATACATGACGTATAGGCCAGCACATTCCCTGAATTCGGGCTGAATGATCGCGTTATGCTCTAAACCACAGAATCCTTAAAAATAAAACCCACTTACCAGGGCCATGTTTGTTGTTGTATCGATTCCAACTTTCATCTTTCACAAATTAGATCATGTCAAACGGAATGAAATGGAAATTGAAATCAAACTCTTTACACAGCCAAGTACATACAGTTACGTCCTTCGTGATAATGGTCTATCTAACCACAGTCCTTGGACACCTTTCCCTCTCCAGGCAAGAAATAACTAGTACGATTGATTTGAGCTCTGTCATCATGTTATCATTGATTAAGACCAGGCTATTAATAGATTTCATTTGGTTATGTTGCATTTAATTACTTTTTTTTTTATTATACTATTGAATGTAGATAAATCTAACAAAGTTCCACTTTTAGGGTATTTTGCCATTTTGAACTTCATCATCAGTGGTCCGCAAATCTTATGAACTAACCACGCCAGTTCACAACCAGTACGAGTATTAGTCTATATATGAATGTTAAATTCCCCAGACAATAGGCGAATATCGCTGTCCTGAAAATTTATTGCAAATTCTACGGCGTTGCCAATATTCCACTTAGCCCCTGTGAACCCCTCTATACATTAGAAATTATCCAGTTCATTATGCTGCTGAATGAAGATCTACTCTGTGTGATTAGTAATTATCATTGCGATGTATTTGACTTAATCTAGTAATGTAGGCCCTCTCGTTCGTTTCAATCATCATCACACATGAACTACAAAAGAATCAACAACCTAGTATCCCGGAAAAGGAAGTGGAATTTAATCAACTAACCAACCAACCATCAAGTAGCCCGGGTTAAAAGACACGTACACAGGTAAATTTTAATCTGAGTATTTAATCAATTAATTGCTATGTTTTCTTCAAAAGCCATCAACATTCAAACATTCATTGGTCCAACTCGTTTACACATGCTTCAAAACCTTTATTAAAGAATATTAAAAAAATGATCCAACTCGTGTGGTTTGGTTAATATGTCTTTACTTGCAAATGTTCGCAAAACTTCCATACCAAAACCTTATATATATTAGATTCTGTCACAGTTGAAATGGAACACAACAGTTATTGTTCATCTGGTAATGGGTCGTGTCTTTTAACGTCCGTAACGTCCGGTATCATGAACGCACCAGCAATTAAAATCAACAGCATGGCCAATACTGTCAGTCCCATAGAATAAGACACAACATACGGTTCAGGAAAGTATGCCAAAAACAGTATCATTCCAATAAATGAAAACACAGCTGAAAAAGAAAATACAGTATCATTTACCTATCTTATCATTCACCTTAACAACTGTCGTCATGGTTTTCAGAATGAAAATCTTAAAAATAAATGTCCGTAACCACCGGAAGTGACGACTGACAACGTGTACTTGATTTCGGCAAAATTTACTATTCCATCCATTTAAGATATGGTAACACTTTAGGGCCTACACAAATTTTGCTGTATAACTGATGTGGACGATGGCCGTTTTATTGACTTACCAGTTAAAACACAAAGAGACATCAGAGCAATGGCCAGATTTCTGGTTCTAGCTGATTCAAACAGAACATAAACTCCTGAGAGAATAGTGGTAAATAGAGCTGCTATAAATACCATAGTCTCCATAGCTCGTACTCCTTGAAATAGACCTGAAAAATGAAAAAAAGTGGCAGGAAAATTATATTAAATCTATCTGCTTGACCAAAGACTATATTATGCCAAATTTAACATTGTATCAAACATTATCAATAATGGGACTATGAGTACTAAAAGGTGACATAACCTGAATTGCATTTGTACAACCAGGCAAATTGAGGCAAAAAAGCTATTTACGCCCTAGCTAACAACGGTGAAATTTGTTTTAGCATATGAACTTATTATTATATGCAGTAGTTTCCAAAATAAGCCAAAAGCTGGTTAAAACGCATCACGTTTGCAACCAATTAATGTTAAGGGTTGTATGTCGGCCAGGGCGGACATAGTGGCGTAACGTTTTAATGAAAGTGCCATAGACATGTTAAATATTTCTTACCAGTTACAAATGTATCTGGGGTAGTGATGGTTTCACATGATCCCGAATTACATGATGTCATTTGCCATAACCCAATCCGATATGACAACACGTCATTGGTTGTACTGTAGACCATCCATTCCAGTGTTGCCCAACCAGCTACGTGCATAAATAATCCTATTATAAGACATACTAGTGAAGCCTTAGCCCAACCACTAGCATCACTACATAGAGCCATAGACGGTTGATCTGAAATGTAAAAAGTTTTATCTTTTATATGCCTTGAGCCTGTAGTGTTGGAACGGATAATGACGCAATGCCCTCAAGTGATAGAGTCGTCTAAATATTTGCTAAAATTATCTGCACCCACGTCCATCGGTCAGTCGGTTTGTATTTCCTCGCAAATGCTCTTGAAAAAGACAAATATAAGATCAAGTTCGAATTATTACGTTTTTCGATGATAATACGCAAGAGTTCTTGCCCTTGTTCCGAATAAATTATATTACTTTAGCTCCTCCTAGTTTTCAACCGATTCTCTCGACACTTGGAACCTTGAATTCTATTTGGCCATAGATTGTGTCATACTTCAGACACGTGTTTCGTAGACGACTTTTTCTTTTTTATCACTTTAAATCACTTAGTGTCTCTAGGTCAACAATATTTTAAGTCAACATCAACTGAACGTCGTTGTTCACAACTGATATGTGAAAATAACTAACGTATACCTCGGTCTGCTCTTCAAAATTACTCGAATATTAACTATCCGATGATTCAATTTCAAAATTCACTCACCTGTTTAGAATTCAAATTCAGTACTAAAAATTCTAATCTACCTCAAATTAACCTACGTCTGTTATTTTGTCACGTGATGTTTACATATATTTTTCTATACTCTCTTCCTATCCTTTCAGTTTGAATTATGACATGGTAACTATAGAGACTTAATAAACTCATAATGAGAAGGGTATGTACTTTCTATATTTGATATCAATACTTCAATATCGATACAATAAAAGACTTGTTCATTCTGAACCACAGAGTCAATTTTAGCGCTTATATTATGTACTCGAAATTGGTGACGTTATAGGCTTACTTCCGATACATAATTGTAAGTGCGATTAGACGAGGTAAGATGCACAGTGCGGCAAACGGTGTGTAATTATCAATACCATAGGAAGGCGAATCATGTACCAGTACCTTGTGTATTCTGTTCTTTTCATTTCAACGATTTAATCCTCACATATTTCTTTCGCCTATGCATTTGCTTTTCCCTTCGAACGAGCTCGATTTTAGTTATCAAGGCTTTGGTCAGTTCATTTTTGTCTCAAAATGAACAGTTAAGTTTAAGTAGATGTTGAATACAACTACAGCAGATTAAGTGGGTTATGTCGAGCTGTGTCACATTCTGACGTCTATTTCCCTCAATGTAGGCCTACACTTCTTGGGTCTTGGGCCCAATCTGGAGCAGAAAAGTAGGATGTAAAATTCCATTTTCTTTCATTTCCTATATCAACACCCACTCAATTGTTGTAGGCGTGGTTTATATCCCAATGTTTTGATTTTAGTAAGGCTTCAGTAAGTATGAATGGTTTCGAAAGAAGTATATTGAACAAAATATCTTTGAAAGTTTCGACTACGTTTTATTGATACTTGTGATCTTTGTCTTGTTTAACTATTCGATTTATATTAGTTTTATATACTATAATATAGGCCTAGGTGTCGATAATTCTCTAAACACTCCGTTTACGTGTCTTGTGTGACGATGATATCGTACATAAAAATTATATGATGTATTCGGTGAGACTGGCGTATTACCGACACCGTTATTTTATTTTAAAGAATGACACAGAAAAGTGTTTCCTTGTTGGACCTTGGAAAAATAAACATTATTGATATAAAAATATTACTTGGTAAATTAAATGGAAGACGCCTTGAATTTGTTCAAATATTTTCTTAGCTCTTAAGCTATCATAAAATATTTGCTTAAATATTCGGGCAAATTCTAAATTGAATTGACTTTGACATCTTCCTTGCGGCACAAAAAGTGGCCTATTCCATAAAATTGCGTTGCGTTATTTAAATGTTAAATGTATTGTAGTTTGTGGGATTATTCAGAGTTGGCATTTTCATCGATGACATTTGAAACATTGTTTTTCATGATGAGACAATTTCAAAAACAATTCACCCTTTCTATTTATAAATAAAATGTAAGGCCTATATTAAGTGAGCTTTAATATTTCACGATACCTTTAATATTAAAAAGTTTGTTTGAAATTGAGATGGGCAGGTTCCAAAATGGAATATCGAACACACTTCGTTGTTCCGAACCACAGAACAATGACCGAACGCAGCTTTGAACGATGTCAAGGTCATTTAGAATAATGTAAACATAAACAGAAGAATAAAATTGATGAATTTTAAAACCACCTCCAAATTTTGGGCTTTGCCTTTATGGTGATTTACAGTCTGTACATATCAAGTCTAATAGTAATAGAGCCTTATTATTCAGGTATCCATATGTCTTTATTATATTAATATCTTGAACCGCAAACAGTCCTAGTGAAGTCAGTGAAGATCAATGTTACTTACTTAACTATTAATTGGCGTTGTATTCAGTATTGTGTCTTGTAGTGTTGGTAGATCCAAGTATTGGGATGTAGGCTATGCTTGAAAAAGTAGGCCTACTAATTTAAGCAAACAATTGCCGTACTGTAACAAACAAACTTCGAAGCATTTTATCAATGGAAAGCAAATTATAGAATTATCACCCTGATCAGCTGATATTCGACTTCCTTTTAAAAATATTAATTGGATTGGTACAATTTGATTCACTCACAAAGTGCTGCAACATGTTTCAATTCGTTAGTTACTTTTTATAGCTGAGCTGGCAGCTTAGACGTCCGTATACAGTGAGTTTCTGGCCTCTTGAGGCAGAAATACCACTAAAATTCAGCACAGAGATGAGGGGGGGTGAACATCTCAGCCCATGACCACTCGTCTGAGGCAGGCTGAAGACAATCTTCGTCCCCATTTTTGATTCAGTTAATGCTCAAAGGGTGCTGGCTATGGTAAAGAAATTCATTACTTTAATTCAACAATTTAGAATTGAATTTTACCAAATTCGTCTAAGAATGTCTCCAGGTCCATTGAAATATGGTTATGTATTTTTTCAATTTGAAGTAAACACACTTCCCTCCAAGAAAATTCCCTCTGTAAAATTTCAGTAGTAACTTATTACTTTCAATCACCTTAAGCTCTATAAAATCATAATATTTACAAATAATGGCTTTTCCAGCGGTTGGCATTTTCATCTGTTGACCCAATTTAAGACTCAGTAAATGGAGTTGATCTTTCAATTTTAAATAAGGAAATTATTAGCAGAACATATATCTGTAAACATTGTAGATAGAGGGTAAATCATATACCGTAAATGAAAACATGTTCACGCAATAGCAGTTTTCAAAATTTTAAGAAAGTAAACTCAAATTATGCATTAACATTTTAAAACTTTTTTCATTTCAGGTCAAATGGAAGTAGAAAGTGAACTGAACTATCCACCAGCAGAATTAGAAAAACTTTTAACAGCAGTTACTTGTCATGATTTGAAGACTTTAGAATCGCTCTTGAAAGACAAAAAAGTTTCCCCAAATTTTGTCATTGAGGGTCAAAGTCCAATTTGTCTTGCTGCATCAAGTGGATTTGCAGACACAGTGCAACTGTTGTTAGATTATGATGCTGAACCAAATCAGCCTGATCTGAATGATCTAAAATGGTTTCGTCCACCAATTCATTTAGCAGCATCAAAAGGCTATCTGGAAGTGATAAAAGTTTTAATTGATAATGGAGTAGATATAAACAGCCTAGACAATGATCACCGTACTCCCTTACATTGGGTGGCAACGTACGGTCATGTAAAATTGGCTGAGTTTATATTGTCGCGAGGTGCTGCAGTCAACATGTATCAAATGGATGGATTCTCTCCCCTTCATGCTGCAACATGTCTTGGACACACTGATATGTGTCGTCTGCTAATTAAGAGTGGAGTTGATGTGAATCATGTTGATTTAGATAGATGGTCAGCATTACACACTGCCGTCTGCTATGGACATGAAGATGTGGTGATGACATTATTAGAAGCTGGTGCAGACGTACATCAACGTACTAGTGATTCAGAAACAGCTTTTCATTTGGCAGCTATTTGTGGACTTCTTCCAGTATTGAAGTTATTATTTGAACATGGTGCAGATCCGAATTCCCTAACTTCCAATGGATTTACAGCATTTCACTTAGCTGTGTTTTATAACAAGATTGCTGTGGCAGAGTATCTCCTCTTATTAGGTGTGAATATCCAGACTAAAAATACTAGTGGCAATAGCCCATTCTATCTAGCGGCTATCAGAGGTGAGGAAAAACTCATCCGAATGATGTGTCTGTCAGGAAAATGTGATCTTTATAGTGAACAGTGGATAAAACAGGGTGAATTTCCGATGGCAATCAGGGATACACATATTGTGACATACATATTAAACAATATGCACAACCCTTTAAAATTAGTGCATTTGAGTAGTCAAAGTATACGAAAACAACTTTCTAACAGACTTTTAAACAATGTACAAAATTTACCTCTTCCAGAGTCGGTGAAAAATTTATTGATTTTTAAGTATGTCTAATTTGCCACATCATCAAAATTCCAAGGCCATTACTTGTCACATTGCATAGCCGTCCATGAATGCATTAGACACATTACTATTGGTGTATATTTGATTCCTTTAGAGATCATGAAAATATCAAAAGATACAAGTTATTGAGATGATGTTATTCATTGGCCAGAAAATCTGCATGATGATGAAATTCGCCAACATCAATGTGTGCATTGCATCAAAGAAAAAGTGGCATGTACTTGGTGACCTTGAAATTTCGACAATGAGTTTGCCAAGACATATTTATGTTGATTTTGGAATGCTGTGCTATTTACATCTGTGTTACTTTTGTTTGTTTTGTTACCAATTTAAGAGAAAACTTGTATGATCAAAATAAAAATAATGAAATCAGCTATTTGGATAATGACCAGCTAGACTTTATTTTTCAAGAATGTAAACAAAAGGAAGATGCTCAACCTCTCCATCACTAGTAACCACTCTAGTAATTGCTCTGTGAGTTGCACGTGTGCATGCTGACAAGGGGATCCATGAGTTCATTCTGGCATAGTTTGAGAGAATACTTGGTCATTTGCTACCCTGGCAACACTTTCCTAATTGCAAACTGCATGGCATTGCCCCTCTTTAGAAGCAGAAAGTAGAGCGTAAAACTTCATTATTTTCTTTCTACGTAGCCTTATAAGTTTTCCTTTTCAAGGGAGATAAGTTTCTCTCACTCAGCAAATTGGTCATTAAAAACAGTTCACCAATCATCTATCAATGATCAAGGTGAACTGTAGTGAGTACTATTCATCATCACTCACTAACAGTTCACCAAATGATGACCTGGGTGAGTACAGTTCTAAAAACAGTTCACTCACCTGAGTAGATTTTGATATCTACTCACAAATTTCCAAAATTATTTCTTCAGAAGGTGAGTTGTAGTGAGTACTACTCAATATCACTCACTAACAGTTCACCAATTCATGCTAAATTATGACTTGAGTGAGTACAGTTCTAAAAACAGTTCACTCACCTGAGTAGATTTTGATATCTACTCACAAATTTCCAAAATTATTTCTTCAAAAGGTGAGTTGTAGTGAGTACTACTCAATATCACTCACTAACAGTTCACCAATTCATGCCAAATTATGACTTGAGTGAGTACAGCTGAGTAGATTTTTAAAACAGTTCACCAATTATATATGTGTCATCTAGGTGAACAGTTCTCAACATCACTCACTAACAGTTCACCGCATATGACTGACTTCAGGTTTTGAAACAATGAAGTAGGTCGGAGGGGCGATTATTCAGACAGGACAAGTCCAAGTCAAGTGTGCTTTTGTCTATGCAAAGATCTCTAGATAGTTGTCAAAAAAGGAAAAGGGGGCTTTTGCATTTACCCTGGCAATATTTTTCTTGTACATTCATGGCATTACCTTTCTCTATCATCTGCAGAAAAGTAGGACATAAAACTCCATTAAATTTTTAAGTTTAATGGAAGAATACTGAATAATGTATGGTTGAACAATTTATTGTATTTAATGTAAGCCTATATTCATATTTTACACAAGTGAGAAGCTTAGACACTCCATTACCATTACAAATCTTTGATTCGGAGAAATGTTCAATCTTATGGAATTAATCTCCTATTGCTGACAGTTAGTTATACAGCCTAGTTTCTACAATGAGCAGTTTAAACAAGAAACATCAACAAAATTTTTCTAAAATCAACATTTCATAGTTAAAAAAAATTTCACACATATCAGTGCCAATTTAGAAACAGATGCCTTAAGTGTGTACATGTGCAAAGTATATTTTGACATATGTAAGCTTATATCAGAGCCTAAACTGAAATTAATAGAGAAAACTCTTTGAAAATCTTCTTTTTGGACATCAGTGATAGTCTGGTGACAATTATAAAGAAGATAGATAAATCTATGACACAAACTATTACAGCAAAATAATAAAACCAAATCTTACAAATATATTTGTACACTTAAAGTAGAACAGTTTGTAATCAAATGACACATTTTTTCAGTTAATAGATGTCATACAGCAAAAAATTAACAGTACATTCTACAGTTTAGGAATTTTAGGTAATTTGACATAAGCTGTATAGAATTACACAAATACATCATTAAACTCACAATGAGCATCTCTAAAATTATAAACAAAAATACTTAGGTATTAAAAAATCTTCATGACTGCAGCTACAACAAACTTATTACTTGATATACTCCATATAATTTTCAAATGAAATTCGGCAAGCCTGACTAGTTTTACAGGTCAATCATTCTCGGTTTAGCTGATGTTGGATTATCCAGTTTCTGTAACAAGATTTGGGCACCTTTAAAGCTACACTTGCGTAAAGATTTTTTAATTGGTATCAACTGTTCTGTTACTGCCTCTGTTACTTCACCACATTCCAATTCTATCAAGCTGAAAGATAAAATTATATTATGGCTTAAAAATAGATTGTGACTTTTTTTTCCAAAAAAGCTAAGCCATATTTATAGCAAAACATAATTTGTTTGCAATTCTTCTGATGATTCAAAGCATAAACAAGAGCAGTGGACAATGTCCCATAGACAATTTAGACAGAACACTTGGCACCATATTTGACCATGTAATTATAAGGAGTTCACAGTAATCATTCTTTTGCCATATTTATTTGAATAATAATTTTCTGTGCTACACCAAAACTGCTGTTGTAACATTCCTAGATATATCCTTGACTTTATCAGAATACAAATTGTAACATGTTTAATTAAATTCTGTCTCTATTGACCTCAAATGACGTGTTCTTGATATATCTATTCATAGCAACAGTTTCGTTAGGTTATAAGCATAGGTAGAGGAAGAATCTTCACAATGTCAAGCTGTCCAAAACTTCATCTTATACCTTGACCGAAATAGCCAACCTTCTTGTATAACATAATGCAGCATTTTGATTGGATTGTATGCTAGCGAATACAGTCAATCGTAGTCATCCATATAAAGACTTGGCTTATTTCTTGCATACTTTTTGTTGAGGCCTCTGATTGGCTGTACTCTTTTGCATACAATCCAATCAATTTCGTGCATTTACAAACATCTGTGACACAAAAAAGGTGGTATTACAGTCAGGGATATAAAATGAAGTTCGTAATAGCTTGACATTAATGCAGAAAAAGTCTTAAGACTTACTTTGTCAAAATTAAACACCCCCTATTACAAGCTGCCCATGATTTCAAGGCTCCTTCCGGTACTTTTTCCAATAACATGGTGGAAAATAAGACTGAAATAAAACATTATCTATTAAGAAGCTTCAGTCTAACCAAATTGTAATTTCAAATTCAAATGAAATAGAGTTTTATCCATGTCTGCATTTGTTTTAGCAGTCAAACATGATGTAAACCAAATTTGCCAGCATGTTTCTGAAGCAGCCTTTTGTGTCTTCAAATTTTGGAACAGAGAAAGATTTAAACTGTAATAATCTTAAGATGAGTTCCTTAAAAAATTTAAAATAGCACTTCAAACAGATTTTAAATCTGCCACAAATAAATCTATTACGCAGACATAGATAAACAATTTCTCACCTTCCTCTCTATTTTCCAGTCTCTTTTTGTCTTGATTAATAAGACGTTTAATCATGAGATGACCAACATGATGTTCTACAATGTGAGAAACTTCACCCCCAGCAGTAAAAGGTTCAGAAGCTATATCAGCAATAAGTTCTAATACTGCTGAATTATCAACTAGAATGATAAAAATACACTTTAAAATATATTAATAATGATGATAAAAATTATAAAATTGATGAAAAATATAAACAATAATGATAGAATGTTCTTGTGCAGATCATGAGAATAAATTCTGCTGCTCTCACATCTCAACCATAATTGTCCCACACAGATTTTTACTTGACATAAGTTTAGGCCAAAAAAATATAATTTTCGAATTTCATTTAGATAAATATGTAAATACATAAGAAATGAATGTGGATCTTGATATCGTTAAGGGAAATAAACGCTGATTTATCATGAGACAAAACCCACATGATCAACTTTGTTGGATCATCTATTTTGTCACTTATTTCCTCAATAGATCACTTACATGCCAAAAATACAAACTTTCACTTCATGGTATGCGAGTTACACAATAGAAAGAAAGTTTTAACTGACCTGTTACATGTATTATTATAGAGAAAGTTAATAATAACATAGTATTATCAAATACTAGAGTTTTAACATTGTCTAATACAAACTGGATCAACTTTGGTGATATATAATCCAATAACTCTTTATGTCTTACACTGCTTTCTTTTTTACTGCAATAAACACAAGACAAATTAACATGGCATAAATTGGGATTTTTTCAGAAAAAATTTTTTCCTTACTCCACCTAAAGAAGAAGTCTATTAGGTAATAAATTGTGCCTAACTGCATGCACCTTACTTTTTACATAAATAAGGTTTGCAGGCAATAAGTGTTGTGCTATTACAGACTATAGTATACAGTCAATCCGTTTTTTCAAACAATACAACCTCTGTCTTAACACTCTCGTTGGTATTTCAAATTTTGCAGACTATAGGGGCCAAAGCAGCATTAGAATTGGTATTTGAAGGAAAAAGCATCTCAAAATGTATCAATATCGGTTAATAATGAGTAATTGTTCTTGGTTTTAATGGAGGGCACTGATATTTTAAAATATCCCGGTTTACTATTTTTTTTACCGTTCCATTGGTTTTTAGCTCTGTATAGACATAGGTATTTGAAACAACACCACAAAAATCAGTGCAAAAATAAAACAAAACGCTAACCTTGTAGCGTTATGATCACCGGTTTGTAAGATATATATTATATCTGGGTTAAAATGAGCAGGATCTCTTGGTACTAATAAATAGAACAACACACGTCTTCCATGATTATCTTTTGCTATTTCCTTTAAATTTTGTAATATTTCCTAAAAAAAATATGATGTATGAATGAATTATATAGATTGCCACACTAAGCATGTGTAACCTTTATGGACAGCCAGAGAAGTGGTTGCTTACACCTATGTAATTCAACTTAAATTCAGCCACAACATTATAAGTTTCATACATGAACATGACAATGCTTTTTCATTCTAAAAAGTGACACAGATGGCTGAAACTTAGCTCTTATCAGATTGTAAAGCTAATATTTTGACAACTTTATGAACTCATACTTACATCTAGAATAACTTTCTGTACTATTTTGGTATCGTCAACACAATCAAATATAGCTAATAATACAATATGACCATACTGTTCTTTACAGATCTTGAGAATGTGACTTTTAAAACCCTTTATTATCACTTTACGATCCTGGAACACAAATTATGAAAATATGTGCAAATGCAATATTGTCTAGGTGACTGGGTTAAGACAAGACTGCGATTTATTAAAATAAATCATTCTTCCCCATTATTCCAGTCAAACCAGCTATAAATGGATATAAATTCTCCAGGAAATAATCTAAGACAAATTCCAACACCTGTGGTGCTTTATCTTGAATTTTGTAGTAATTTTGTTAATTTTTATAATGAAAGTAGCATACCTTAGCTGTACCATGCCATATACAATTTAATACCACTTTAGATCCATCTTTAGTGTGTACCATATTAATACAACCTTCACGTAAAGCTTCTATCATTTCCTAGCAAAAATAACCAAACAATTATTAAACAGACTAGAACTTTTTTGAGAGGTAAATTTTAATTTTGGCTAATTATATGCAATATTGGATCATGAAAGGTGTTATTTTGCCTCACAAATAGCAACCTGAATAAATTTCACTTACTGTTTTCATCTTGCCTTCAGCATGTGTGAAATATTCAGCAAATACTCTATGTACTATAGAATGTAGTAAACTTTCTCTGAAATAAAAAACCCAATTAACATTATAACTAGTGAACAGTATTTTTCTACCCTCTGAATAGAAAGATGGTTCCCCGTTGAAAATTTAGTACAATAATAACTTTTTATACTTACTTTTCTATTAGTGATAAAAGAGTTTCTTTCATATTACTTAATATCATTTCTTTTTTATTGGGTTCTTCTTGGAATATCTGACTCAATGATTTAGCTGAATTGGTCTATAAAACAAATAAATGTAACATTTAATTAAAACCAAATTGGTTCTCATAACGCCAAATAATAGGTACTAAATCATCTTCTAAGAGTCTTTCTGTTGCAATTCTATCATAAGTCTATTATTTTAGGCTAATTATGAACATCAGTATTTTCAAGCAGGAGAAAAGCCTAATTGAGTCAATGGAATTCCCTATCTAAGGTCTAAAGGAATTATCTCAATCCACGATTAATCAAACCCAAGATGTCAAGAAAGCTAAGGAAATTTTAAAAGCTTACTTGAAATAAAACAAAACTTGGGCCATAAAATTCTTCTAATAATGCAAGTTTCTGAGGTCCATTGGCTTTCTCACTGAAGATAGTTTCCACTACTTCACTTGCTTCCTACAATATCAAACATACAAATATCAAGTTCCACCTGTATCTTGAGCTATCATTCTCATGATCAAACTGAGATCTTCATTCAACAATAATTTTGTTTGTTACTTAATGCTTAGTCAATTACTGGATTCTGTCATTTCTTTATTAGCTAATTACTTTCATAATAGTTAATAGAATAGAAATTGAGTGTAGAATCCTGGCATGAAAATATATTGATTTTCCCACACACAAGTTCCATCAGCCAATTTTAAAATTGTAACTATGAATTTAAATGCAGGCTTATGAAAGTTAAGGTAATATCTGTACCTTGTGCCTAATGAGTTTAACAACTTTACCATGTAACTGTTTGATTATAACATTTACAGCTGACTTAGGCCTGAAATGAAATAATGTAATACTGGTCAATTGGTAGAAGAGTAGCTACAATTTGCCCACTCTTTTTTGAATTCACAACTGTCTTGACCAAGTGCACAATTACATTGTATTTTAACTTTACTTACATATATTTCAACATTTTCAGAACAACATATTTTCCATATTTCGATTTACATAACTGTACAATAGAAGCTGAAAATAAATTCATGAAAGGATAAGCCATATTGATACTACAATCTATAGCTCAATCCAAACAAGCAATTGCCAGCATTTAGCTTAAAGGTTTAACAAATAACAAAGTTAGACTTGTTTCATTAATACTAACCTTTTGTTTCTTCTAAAACTGTTGCTTTATGCTGTTCAGTACCAAATTTGATCAAACACTGTATCATTCGAGCAGTATCATGAGCGTATGAAAACTATTCATGATAAAAAAAGGCATAATTGAATATCAGACAATGTTCTACATAGCAGATATAATCATTAAGGGCATCTAAACAGGGCAGAGCATGGGCAATAAGAGAATATATTCATCAATGGACTTACACAGTGTCATAATTATATAACAAATTCCCTGTATAATCCTAATTTTGAAAAGTGGTAAGGGATGCTGAAATTGAGTTCTGTTAACCAGTAAAACAAATATCTAAATGACCATGTTCCTTTGAAAAATTATAATGCATCTGCGATTTATATGACACAACCCATAAGAAAATCTATTTGATCATATAATAGACTCAACAATGAACATACCTCAGCAATCTTTCCTTTTACACCAGAAAATAATTCATTACATAATTCAATCCTCTTCTTATCTGAGATATCAGACCTACAATAAAAAGAATTTTCTCAGACAATTCCAAAGAGGAAACGACGCAGTACTACAAACTAATGTTTTTTTTTCAAGGTTAATATGTACTGATATTCTTTGACTACTTATTTTTAGATTGAGTGAAATCACTACTACAAAGTGTTACATGATAAGTAGAAATATTAAAAGAGTGACTTACTTTCGTAACTGTTCCCATATGACTTTAGATTTCTGAATAATTTGATAATGATTTTTGGCAATTCGGCTAGCTGTTCTTCTATCTTTCCAGTTCATATCTTTAGTTTTGGCTTTCTTGACCACTGAAAATTAAATCATAGAAATTTCAGCGGTGCGACATAAGCTTATAGCTTATAAATTTTTCAAAACTCAACCCTGCATACTAGTTCTCAAACCATTCAAGCGGATATGCCTTAACAATGACACTTAAGTGACTGTACTGTTATTGAGGAAAATGGCAGATGATGCAGATAATGAATATCAAATTAAAATGAAAAAGAATTTCTTACTTGTATCATCATGTAAAACAGATTGTGAAGCTGTTTCTATCTTTCTTTTAGGTGCTTGTCGACTCTTTTCTAAATTCCCTTTAGATTTTAAACCCTTCAACTTCTTGGCAGCTTGTTTGATCTGAAGCTGATAGATAAAAAAAAAAAAACAGTGTTACAAGTTATTGAAATATATTTATGTAAGCTAATCTAATATACTTATTCATTTCTTTTCTTTAAATTGATTGTTAAGTGGCTTTCTTGTCTTTTTCCATGAATATGAGACACTGGTAGCATTAATTTGAACCATTCCAATTTTCAACCAGACATTTGTAGGTCTTGAAATTCCACAAAAAACTAAGTGTTTTATAGCTTCTTTTTATAGTAACATAATGTAGCTTACAATACTGTTTAGTATTTCTGTAATTATAGGAACCACAGACATCTCCCATCAAGTAACTTTAAGACAAATCAATGACAATTAATGTGAACACTACAAACACAATTAGACTACTCCTTGGGCAATAGATCTTAACTCTGTAAAATTTTCTTTACCTTAATGGATTTTTTCCTCTCTAAAGGTTGAGCTCTAGATGGTTTACCATTTTCTAAATTTGGAAGATTCTCTTTAAGACAAGATTCCAATTCTTCATCCAACAACTTCTTGGTCTTTTCCTTAGTTTCAATAGATGGCCGCTTAGTCATTTTGACTGCAAACGATTTTTCTGCACCATCAGGTGTCCCCCTGGCTCTTTGAACAGCTTTCTCAAAAGTGACGTCACCTCGCCTATTTTTGCGAATGCCAGTGGTGTGCATGGTCATTTCTGACATGTGAGCAATAGAACTAATTTCACCAAGAGAATCAGGTGTACTTTGGTCCAACAGGTTGTCAGCTAAATCTATTTGTTTAGTTTTGTTGGTGTAATATTTTTCTGTCGAATCATCTAAGTTGTCATAGATTCGATTTTTCTTCTTCTTTTTAACTGATGACACACTGTCCTCTTCAATAATTGACGGCATATTGAACTGTGCTTTGTCCTTATGCAGGATACTATTTCCTTCTGGGTTGCCTCTCATACTCCTGTTTTTCTTGGGAGAGGTCATTTTCTTTTTTCTCTGAGTAGGTGTGTCCACCATTGACATGGTGTCTCCCAGTGGATATCTTCTCTCTCTACTCTGAACAGTGACTTATTCAGCAAATATAATAAGGTTTAGACCTGCAATAAAACCAAAGACTAAAATTCATTCAACTCTTTTAGTTTTTGGCTATGCAGGACACGCAGAATACTAAGATAATGCTTAATAACATCCTCAGCATCTGTAAATAAAACCTTCATTATAATCTGTGGAACTTTTACAAGCAATCGAACCCAGCCATGGCCATGGAGAGTGGAAAATGGCAAAAAAGGAAGGGGGTCAAGTTAAATAAAGTATTTCTACACTTTTTGACATCGAAGCCAATATCAGTTGGTGAAAATAATACAGGTATACTCACGATCAATCTGACAATACTATCATGCAGATTAAAATGAGAGGACACGCCGTAGGATAAATATAAATATTTTTTAACAACCCTCTCTGTACAAAATCAAAACAAAAGCACGTTTTGAATTTACGACCTACTTACGACTGTTGTAAAAGAAATAAGACATGAAAAAATGGGAATAGATTTCATATTGTAGGGAAAATCACAGAATGAACGATTTTCCTTAGCATATTTTTGTGTTTAAAATTTTATTGAAAATCCAAACATACTGACCTACTTTTACGACATTCATTAATTAGTCCAAAAGGTCAGGTGTCATGACCTCTGACATAGGCAGCTGATACTCTACAATCTTGGAATGTTGATCATTTAAATGTCTTAGCATTATTTTTAGGGTTTTAAATTTTTTGTTATAAAATGTTATCTAAAGTATTGAAAACTATAATTATAGGTCCCCCAGGTGCGGGAAAAGGGACCATATCAACTAGAATTGTCAAAGATTTTGGCATGAAACACTTATCAAGTGGTGATATTCTGAGAAAACACATAATGGAAGGCACAGGTTGGAGTTAAAGGTCATACTTTAGACCCTTCAGATTTTTATTATGTACTGGAATTTTCCCTTGTCAAGAATTCAGGTCCAAAGTTTGGCTTGGAAAGAGTATTTTGTCTGTTACTCTGTCAGGGTTTTCATAATGAGACATTCAACTGAAACTACATTTAGACATGCAGAAATATTGAAATGCAATGAATGGAGTTTACGTCCTACTTTTCTGCACCATGTGGGCTCATGAAGACGGGCAACGCCATGCATGGTGCAATGAGGGAAATTTTGCTCTTTTTTTGATTTCTGCACAGCCTGTAGCACACCGGGCCTCTGTTTATTGTCATATCTGAACGACTATACACTTTTTCCATGTCAGCCCCTCTTACCTGCATCACTGACTGGGGGAAACCGGGTTGAAAAATCCGAAGGTGTTACCTCGACCTATGCCAGGATTGAACCCTGGACCTTCAGGTTAGCAAGCAAACGTCAAACTTACTGAGACAACGTGGCTCCCTTAGACACGCAGAAGTTGTGTGTTTTATTATTTTAAAGACCCCAAGTCTACTAAATTTGATATTAATAAGTAAAGAATCCTTCACAGGCTGTCTGAATTAGTGTAATCTGATGCATTAAACTGGGACATAAAACAAAAATAATTTAATACTTCTGTGAAATTAAGTGGGGATACATATTTACATTGATCACTTTTCTTTTCTTTTTTTACAGCAACTGGACTTGCAGCTAAACACCATATAGATAAAGGTGAATTGGTTCCTGATAGAGTAATGGTAGACATATTTATTACAGAACTTCGACACTTACATAATCACAGTTGGTTACTGGATGGTAAGAATTTTTTCAACTAATATTCAGCTAGTTTAAAGAGCTATAATGCAGTTTACCATAACTTAAACGTTAAGAACACAAGATATATAGATATACTACTTCTAGGGTTATTACATACTACTACTTAAAGGTTGCTATATAAACATAATGTGTCCTAAAAAAGATTATGCTACATCTAAAGTATATCTATTTGTCTTGCAGGATTTCCTAGAACAGTGAAGCAAGCAGAAGCATTACATAGAGTTGAGCCAGTTGATCTAGTAATCAATTTAAAGGTACCATTTGAAGTTATCATGGAAAGAATATCTAATAGATGGACACATATATCTAGTGGTAGAATATATCATTCAGAATTTAACCCTCCTAAAGTAACAGTAAGTCAAATATCAAAGTTTTTTTTCCTTCAAAAGGGGCTTTCTAGTCACTTATAAGTCTCACTATGGAAGGTCATTTCAATATCCATTAAACATGAATCATTGGCAGGGAGAAACTAGAAAAATTGGAAGGTATTGTCTTGATGTATACAGGGAGAGAAAGTGTTCATTATGGAGACCTTAAAGTTGGAAATAGCAAACTGCCACTGGCCTAGCAAAGTTCATGATAAAGAGCTGAAAAGTGGGTCATGAATTTTCATTTCATTTCTGAACTCAATGTATAAAAATAAGAATAACCACTTGATTCGATGCCAGCAATATTTTGAAGGAAAGTTTTGAGTTGATTTCATTCCCCATGTATTTGGTAGGGTAAAGATGATGTAACAGGTGAAGATTTAATACAGAGAGATGATGATAAACCTGAAACAGTTAGACAACGCTTACAAACATTTCAAAATATGACAGAAAAAGTCCTTGATTTCTATAGGTATGTACCATCAGAGCTTACTATAGGATTTTTTTTATAGATATGGCTAGTGACTTTTAAATGGGTTATTTTATGCACTATTTATATACAGATTGGGAAATTGAGCTGAAAAGTAAACAATTGATTCATGTGAAAGTAAATACATGACATAATTCATTACAAATTGCTATAGATTTATGTAATGAACTTATCTAAAATGGGGACAGAATTAACTTTTATCAAGTTAAATTAGTTCAATTATGTACCCTGCTCTTAAATTTTTTGAAAAAGGGCTCATATATCTGGCTACTTAATCATTTCTTGTGCTTTTGAGTGCCAAAATGTTTTGATGTATCTACTTAAAGTGATACTACGTCTTAGAATGAACATAAAATTTTAATTCGCGAAATATGAGTATATATTCATCAGTTAGCTTAAAATTCATAAAACTAAGTAATTATATATTGAAAAACACTTAATTTTTATCCTGTTAATATGTTATGTGGTGACACCAGGTATATCTACTGGCTCTTATTCGCCAAGTTTAAAATTTTTCAATTTTATGTTAATTCCAAGACGTAGTATCACTTTAACATGGATTTGAGATGAGCTCTGAGAGTTCTATATAATTTTTTCCAGGGAACGTGATCTGTTAACAGAATTTCAAGGGAGTGAATCAAATGAAATCTGGCCAAGAGTTCACAAGTTTTTATCAACTATCAAGACACCATTACATTATACAGAATACAAGTAAAATATTGTTCAGAATTAATTTAAAGTTCTTATTAAGTTTAATTTATTAATAACAATATTTCAAATGTTCTAAAAGGAGCAGACACAAATATTTTGTTAGCTCACAACTTCCAGTGGACTAAATTTTAAAGCAGTCTAGAGTGAAGATATCCAAACAGTGCACCACTAATTAGAAAGGAACCTGTCCTTGCACCTGATACCACTTTGTGCCTGTGTTTATCATCTCATCATATGTTTTAATTGTCTCCATAGTTAGCCATATTTTTATGATATAGCAATGGTCTGCTCTGTTTAGAATATTAATTTTATCCTTGAACCAATGTTCATGTTATTTTACTTTTCGAGAATTATGCTTTGTTATGTTCCTATACCAACAAGATGTTTTGTTCTTTAAATGACTGACCAAGATGACTATTATGGGATTTGTCTGCATGTTTATTGGGTCACTTATTTGTACCAATTTGATTTGTTTACTGTAGGCCTACATGCATTTCCAGAAAGCTTTGTTATTTCAAATACAGAACCTTTTTATACGCCCACATCTCTCTATGTGGACGTATATTGTCGTCACCCCTGGCGGTCCGTCGGTCAATATTTGCTTGTAAACGCTCTAAGAACTAGAATTTTTGATGGAATCAAATGAAATTTGGTATATGTATACATATTCATAAAACGAAGATCAAGTTTGAATTAGAGCTATTTAGGCTGTTAGAAGCAGAGTTATTGCCCTTGCCCCAAAATCTTGAATATGCTACTCTCTTAGTTTTCAACCGATTTTGATGAAACTTAAAATGGATGTTTCGTTTTTACCATCCGCATGCCGTGAAGGGCGCATATGTCTGTGGTCCACTATCTTTAATTTATTTTGTAATGGCTGGCCAGGCAGATTCTTTATTTCTCTATCTGGTTAAAGTACAGAGCTGGATGTTTTCGTTTATCTTTTGTCTTTAGTATACCAATGATCAGAAAAAAATGGTTTTGAAATAGTGTTCTTAATTTAAATTAAATTTTTAAAAGTGGGCTAATAATGCAAGAAAATGAGTTTGCGTGAATTCCTTACTTGTGGTAGACAGAGCTTTAATTGAGTAGATCATTTGATTGGTTGAGTATTTGTGACATATATATGTACAATTTCTCAGATTAGGGATGGCCAGTGGAGTTGTCCACAGAAATGAAAAAATTCAGTTCTAAATATTCCTAATGCCGCAAATTGTAACAAACTTTTGGTTTTTAACTAACGTCTTGTATTTTACAATCATAGATGTATCAATACATTATTTGGTAAAGAACTCAAGCTTTTATCTTTGTGCTCAGGTTGCATTATTCTTTGTTATAAAAATATTTTACTATAAAAAAAAAATAGAGCTTCCTTTTACATGAATGAAGTTATTCTTTAAATTGTGATTTATAGATTTTTTGAATTATTCTGTATTTGTATTCTATTTTTTTGATATTTCTTTTCGTTGATTTCATTCTTTGTTAATTTCATTTTTTTGAAATTTTGATATTGGATTGTTACTGATATTATTTTATTTGCACTGGATCTTTATAATTTAGGTCTTTTGAATGCAGCTTGTGCAAGAAAATATATATAAATCCACACAAGCAAGATAATTCTGTCAATCAAAATCTAGTCCGAAGAATGGCAAAATCAGGAGTAAATTTTACATAGTTGTAGACTCCTCCAAAGAGATACTGATAATGTATCTAACAATGATTTTACAAGTATTTGGGTATTATTTTGTAGGTCTTGTACAGAAACTGATTACAATAATGAAGTATGGCCTGAAGAATTAAAACACAAACTTGCAAGATCTTTACATTAACTGCTAGGATGTATCTTTTTTTTAATTTAACTGTTATATTACCATTAAGTTTCTTAATGAATTGAGTCTCTACCACCAAGTCAAATCGTTGCTGATATTGTGCAAGATTAATGGGGCTCAAAACAGGATTCTAAACCTTTGTTCATTTTATTTCTAGGTATTATCTATTTAGATTTGAATATATTTGATTTAAATATTAGATTTAAAATCAGATATATGTTAAATGTAATTTTGTATGTTTTATTCCTTTTGATTTTAAGAATTTTCCATATTTCATCCCAATGATTTTTCTTTGTAATGTGTACATTGTAATTTGAGTGAATGTTCTTCCAATTCTCAATAAATGTTGTTTTGATTTAGAATCTGATGAATGTTCATTTTAGTTTTGTAGTTGATGATGTACATTGAAAGTTTGAACATACATTTATTTATTTTTAGTCCCATTGTATGTTCATTTTAATTTATATAATTGTTCATATTAACTTAGATGTATGTTCATTTTAATTAAATTATGGTGAACATTTATTTGATTTAGATGAATGTTCATTTTTATTATAGATGAAAGGTCATTTTATTATGTGATTGTTCTTTTTTATTTGTAAGTTAGGTGAATGTTTTTCACTTTAGATGAATGTTAATTTCAATTTCAATCAATGTTCATTTCAATTTAGATTAATGTTAATTGCAATTTCAATCAATTTCATTTTGATCTGGATGAATGTTCATTTCAATTCCAATCAATGTTCATTTTGATTTAGATGAATGTTAAATTCAATTTCAATCAATGTTCATTTTGATTTAGATTAATGTTAATTGCAAGATAAATGTTTAATTCAGTTCATTTAATTTTGAAATTTAAATGAATGTGCATTTAGATTTAAATCATTTACTATTTTATTAGAAAGTATGTTGAAAAGTTAAGGTTAAAATAATCCATAATTTGGTGCACGTCATGGCCATGAGGGTTGTGCATTTAAATATACAGTTGATTTTATTGTTTATAAATTATGTACATAATAAACACCTTTTATATAAAGAGCCTTAACTTGTTGGGGTATCAATGTCCACAAAATGTATTACCGGGTATTATGACTACTCTTTTATAAAAGGATTTACAAACTAACTACTAACAATTCTGTTTTTATTCAAAAGTATATACATAACAAGAAACAAAATCACCCACAAAATTGTGTTAAAGGGACATAATATAAAAAAAAAAATAGACTACAAACATTTTTCATTAAGGAACGTAACAAATAAAAAACAAGACTAAAATATATTAGTTTTTATAGGGTAAAACAAAGAATTATATCCGTAGAGGCAATGGTGTATGGTGTATAGTTAGAGTAATGGAATTGGTCGGTTGTCAGGATTTGTTTTTGTTTCTTTCTGGATTGTTGCCATGATATCAAAAAGAATAATTCTAATGATTTTCGAAATGTTTCATATTCGTTTGCTAAAGTAAGGCTAACTTACAGAGCAAATGAAGCCAATAATCAAGCTGTTACATTTGTAATGTTTTCGGCTTTTATATTATCATGCGGATTACATTGCATAAGACCAGTAAAGTGACTAGTTGATCGAGACAATGATATACCAGCAGACGGAACATAATATCACAATTCATCACGCTTTCATTGAAAACATTCGAGAATGACAACCTTCGACCCGACTGGTAAAGTAGCTGTATAAGTTCATTTTATAACACTCTTTTAAGAAGCAACCTTGTATGGATGAAAATGTGCTTTAAACGCTATAATTTTAATTGCTTAGTAATCGACCTTCTCAGACCGATATACTTTACATACTGGAAGACAGAGTCTACACAGTAAATGCTCACGCTTTTGAGCTTTACTTTCTAAAACCGCCAGCAAACTCTTTTACGCATGATTTTTCATATTTTTAAGCCTAATATGATTATTATATTCAATGCCAATATCATAACAGTCTAAAAAAGTCAAAAAGTAACCACTATCTGATAGTAATGCAAACCTAGGAGCAGAGTGGCATCAGGTTTCCGAGTGAGTTAGCATAACATTAACAAAATAACTAATTGTAGGCTATATTCTGGGAATTTGAATTTTTTTTCCAAAGTCAACGTCCATCCAATGCTAAAAAAGAGGTACGTCATATTGTGCCCTGTTTTCCGACCGGAATGAAGTGGTTATTTTAGGTTTTTCAATTTTAAATACATTTTTTCAGAACACCAACATATACGATTCAATCCATTGAAAGACGAATGGGTTTTAGTGTCCCCTCATAGAGCTAAACGACCATGGACTGGACAAGTTGAAAAAGTTCCAGAAGACAATATTCCCAGAAAAGACAGTAAAAATCCTTTGTGCCCTGGTTCAATCCGGTCAAGTGGAAAGGTAATATGAAGCTGTTTATTGTGTTTTTCTTATTTTCCTGGCATTAAAAGGAGAGTTTCACAAAAACAAAGAATTGTTAAACAAAAATCATGCCTCACCCCTTAGCCTTTAAAACAATTTCCAGGATATAAGTTAACCCTTAATTCTATTTAATATCATACCAGTTTCAATACCAATTATTAAAGATCAAAGTTCTTTGAAAATAAATCGTTTGGTCGAAAAAAAAAATGTCTCAACGTATGATTAATTTCATTGTTCAAATCGGTGCGATACCGGTAATTTTTGCAGGTGAATCCAGAATACGAAGGAACATATGTATTCAGAAATGATTTTGAAGCTTTACTAGAAGACGGTCCTGGCCCAGGTATGGATTCTAACACAGAGAAAGTCGATCAAAATCTTTTCATTTTACCATTCCAACCATACTTTATGATATAAGCGTTTCAGATGACTCCTTCTAAATTTACGCGTGAAGAATTCTTACTCTGATTTCGACTAATCTATTTATGCTTATGATTTTACCAAATTTTAGCCGAAAGCGATGACCCATTATTCCAAGCAGCACCGGCTTATGGAACGTGTCAGGTTATGTGCTTCCATCCATGGTCTGACGTAACGCTTCCTATTATGGAACAGAAAGATGTTCGCGCTGTGGTTGATAAATGGGCAGAAATGAATAAAGAACTAGGTCAGAAATATAAATATGTTCAGGTGAGCTATGCCATAGGTTTTTCAAAACTATGCCAAAAAGTATTTATGTTGAAACATAGCCATGCTCTTATAACGGTGTAAAACTTGTGAGATTTTGCGTGTAATGGCTACATTATTATGTCTCATGTTTTGGTTCCCTAATTCCATTATGTATTAACATTATCTTTTATTAGGCTTATGATGAATTTGTGTCACATTAGGTTAGGGTAGTTGAGTTGTTTGGTACTTGGTGGGATTATTCGATTAGATAAATTACCAACCAATGCCTAGACTCCTTCTCTAGTTTTGTACGCTGGAAAGCATTTTAAACATGATAATTATTGTCCTTTGCATTAAAATTGACTGGACATAACCATAATAATAATAATAATAACTTTATTTGGCATCCCATTTAGACAAAAGTCTAATTTTCAATAGGTCCCACTAAACTACATATTATATACAAGATTACAGAAAGAATAAAAATACAGAAAATAGAGTTATAAATGTTATTATACACATCTATGGACATAACTGATCCATGACACACATTCCGAAACTGGTCACAATATTTGTATAGTTAAACATATCACTCCAGTATTTTGTTGTAGATTTTTGAAAATAAAGGAGCTATGATGGGCTGTTCTAATCCACACCCTCACTGTCAGGTAAGCCTATTGATCCATTTTATTGATGTTGGTATATTTATACTGAAATACTGTATAACGTGGTAAGTAAGGAATTGTTATGTAATTTCAGTGTCGAGAATTCATTCATTTTTGTCTTTCCTATTGGTTGGTCGGTATATATTATAAAACGCTATTGAGTCAAAGTTCGTTTGTATAGGATAGGAAGAATAACTATGTCAGATCATGGATGGTCAGTGCAATAAACCACAGAAAACACTAAACGAAACGTCTAAATCTGTCAGATCTGGTCAGATTGTAAATCAATCTTGACAGAAGATCACAAAATTTAAAACCAGGGTTGCAAACTTAAGCAACTGTTGTAATAATTTCGTAATTGATGTGTGCGTATATCTGATATATCGTATATTTTCATAAACGAAAGGAATATAACAAACTAATTTTGAACCTTAAGCTATCAAATTTAGTGATTAAGAAATTCTATTTCAGATTTGGGCAAGCTCTTTTCTCCCAAATGAACTGAGGGTAAAAGATAGAACGCAAAAAGAATTTTACCAGAAGTATAAGAAACCTATGTTGATAGACTATTTAAATAAAGAATCAATCAAGATGGTAAGAGAATACTGATTTTAAAGGAATATTATCAATATACACATCTACACAATCATCTCCCTCCCATTGCATCGATCATTCATTCAAGCTATATAATATTGTCGAATCAAACAGCCAAACGCCCGGAAGTGTTTCTAACTTCTCAAAATGATTATCGGATCCACTTTTGAAAACTATGCTTTGGTTTATGTTCGTATAGGAACGTGTCGTATTAGAAAGCGAGCACTGGGTATGGTTAGTGCCATATTGGGCTGTTTGGCCGTATGAAACGATGTTGTTACCAAAACGTCATGTTTTACGAATTGAAGACCTGCAAGACAAGGAACGAGAAGGTAATCCGTTTACTTGTACGACTTGTTCATTGTGTACGGTCATAATCATTGTACGAATGTGTTACAATGACATGAACGTTTTACAGATAATAGGACTTTGTGCCATACTGCCCAATTGAAGTTGATCAAAAAACGTTTTGAGTTAGATCCGCTGAATTTATCAATATTGATGTTTCTTATTATTCCTTCTACTCACACTGGTAAACTGAATTTGTATCAAAAAATAACTAGCAGTGTTTATTCTGATTTTTTCGTCTCCATTGTAATCTAACAACTTTTCTAATGCGGTTCAACGACACGACGGTGTATCGATATCCATTTTTCTTCTTAGATTTATGTCTGATAATGAAGAAATTACTGTCAAAATATGATAACATGTTTAACATATCATTTCCTTACTCTATGGGCTGGCATGGTAAGTAGGCAGTTTGATTTGTATTAATAATCTAATTCTTTGAATACCATCTTCCCTTACCGATTTCCAATATGAACTGCACTGGGGTGAGCAATTGTGGTAATGCACGAGAAATTATATTATTTATATATATTATATAATAGCACAACGATTTTAACGTTATCGAGTTTGTAGTCATGAAGAATGGTATAAAATATTTTCAGGCGCGCCAACTGGCGGAAGTTTGAAAGAAGATAACAACCATTGGCAATTACATGCTATATACTACCCACCACTGTTACGTTCTGCAACAGTGAAAAAATTCATGGTTGGCTATGAGATGCTTGCTCAATCCCAAAGAGATCTGACAGCTGAACAAGCTGCGGACAAATTAAGAGGACTCTCTGATGTCCATTATAAATTACAGAACAAGGCTGAGTGATGTTGCTGTAGACTGACAGTTGCGAGATTATTAATAACGGCCATATTCAATGAATGTATAGTGAGATTCTTTTAGTTAATAATGTCCTGGTGCTTATAAAGATTGGCTCAGGTAGTCCTTGTGATTGGTAGATTCCGAGAGGAACTGGTGGCATCTGGGTACTGAACGCCCCGACGTTTGAAAATCGTAGTTGCTATCATGGTGTAATGATGTGAACAACATCCCGGTTTTTAGAGAACTAATTTTTTGGGGTTACTATTCTTATGTATTTTTTGTGTGGATTCTCTCTTCTATTACGAGATTGGTTTTCTATAGCATTTATTATGAATTTATTGATGTGATGGGGTTATGTTTTGATTGGTTTCCTATGTTTGGTTAGTCCAAATATATATATAAATATATTTGTTAGTACGTTTTGTTAATCTGAACAAAGAATATATAATTATGTTAATGTAATACACATTGTTTTTATCATGATTTGAAAATACCACGTAAAGACAAATATCAAGATAAAACAAAATTAAAGATCTGAGGCTGCGGTCTGAACCAGAACTCTGATGATCAATATGAGCTATTTCCGAGCCCCCATTGACAATTTTACTCAGCCCCTTCCACTTAACGATTCATGGAAATGCAATTGTATATTATACAACCAGTAGATATACAAAATCAAGAATCAATGCCTAATATGGCTCATTTATTGGATTCGGACTGCTTATTTTCAGACACAGCACCATGTGGGATCTGCAGTTGGACAGCCAACATTTTGTGGTTTACATTGGTGAGCACTGCCAACACATTTACCATTTTTTTGTTTACATTTATAACAACAACCTGAAATAGTAAATATTAAAATTCAAGCATAATAGCTTACTTATTGTTAACCCTATCGGTTTCTCGGAAGGTGATGGAATATCAACACACTGAAAGCCATAGCAGACAAAAAAAAATTCACTTTTTCTTAGTATCTTTTTTTGGATTGCTAGTTTTTGAGACGTGTCTTCATGAATATTTTACAGAACTTTTGATATTTATACTAAGATGAACAATAAAATAATAATTCCATCAAGACATTACCAAGATATACTTCAATGTCCCTGTGTCCCACACGATACCAAAACACTTGTTGTACGTAAAAGGTAAATGCCTACGTTATCGATTTGTACTGTGTTAAAATATAAGAATTGTCAAAAATGTTACGAAGCACCTTCCTTTTAACGTACCGGTTTCTATGCGTATATCATATAAGAGGAACGGGAAAGACCAGTGGCTCAATACCATAGCGAACCAAGTCCACGGCCCCCACCCCCGGAAACCGGAAAAAAATGCAGGAGAGCATATGTTGAAAGAAATATTTTCCCCCGGAAGGCACCAACCCATTTAATCCCACTGGCCCACGAGATTTCTCGGGCTAAACTTATTTACATTATATGACATATTAATTATAACAACAATTTAAAAAGACATTCCGCTTTTTTTGTAGGTCGAAAATTTTGTTGCACAATTTTGTGAAACTATAATCCAAAATCTATAGAAATGTATCCCATAACGTATCTGAAAGATATAACTAGAAAAATCCAGCCGTTAACTTTACGTAAAAGGTTACGTTACGTAACCATTTAGACTTCTTCATGCTTTTTGCTTACTGTTAGAAAACTACTGTACGGATTTCAGTAAAACTCCTGTCAACTCCTGGAGTCCATTTACATAATAATGCATTCAAGGGGTATTCGTTTGGGACCGATTTATTAATGTGTCCTTCATGGTCGTCCATTTTCTTTTACAGTTTTGTTTAATTATTTTGTCTTTACCTATCCGCTTGAAAGGCTGATAAGATTTTTGTAGCAATAATAAGTCAGAAAATCATTCATTCATTCGTTCATTCTTCATTCATTCATTCATTCTATGCATTCTATGCATTCATTCATTCATTCATCTAAAAATTGTCCGCTTGAAAGACTGATAAGAGTTTTGTAGCAATATTAAGTCATTCATTCATTCATTCATTCATTCATCTAGAAATTGTCAAGTTTATTTTCAACAAGGGTGCAATGAGCTCATGGCACTTCAATATTCATCATGAACTCTACTGTATTTTTTTCATCGATGTGATGTTATATCTCGGAAGTTGGTATATCATTTTAGTTATTTATTAAATGTCTTCTTAGTATCACAAAACAGTAATACAATGTTGCGTTGTGTTACTTTATAGATAATCCGAGAACCTTACATAAAATCCTATTTCTAACTTAAAAATCTTACAAAAATTGATAAAATGGAATATAAATCTTGCTTTATTTGTAAAAAAAATAAGCTTGGAGTTTTTGAAAGTTGGTCGAACAAACCGTAAAATCCTTTCCAACTTCTGCAACATCATAAACTTTTACTATACAGTGATTCAAATAAAGCGCGAAACGGATTATTAGTTTGACCACAATAATATCGATATTACCCCGCTTTGATACAATTGGTCTGTGATGCACGTGCTGGATAATAAAAATGGATGCTGTAATTGAAAAGAATTTTCCTACAGAATGTTGTTTATTGAACGATATAAAAACAGTTTAAATAAAGGTAAGGTAATCAAAATAATTCTGAACTGAATTGAGACTTTAACTTAAAGTACTCGCCCTATAGGTTTTTATTCAATATTATGACACAGTAATAGTTTCATTTCACTTCATACTCCGAAACTATATATACTTCCTTGTGTTATTTTTTTGTTTCAGAACAAAAAAATCGACGATCATGATATTTTCTGCTGTGTGAGTATTTACAATTTTGGTACTTTGGCTACTCGTTATTACGGGTACACAAGGACGCATGTATTGCGATCACGTATGTTAATTATTTTTTGATAATTAGTTTATAATCATTTTTGATGCATACCTCCACATTATTATTTTATGACAGTTCATTTAATCATCTTTGATGTACTATCACATTTTGATTCATCAATTAGACCATTCATTGAATTTGCTACTGTGTGGGTGTATACAATTTGGAAATCAACTCGTTAATAAACATAGGCCTATATTTGACGTCCTACACGTTCTGTGGTTTTTGAAACCTTTCCTTTTTTGTACCCACATTATTGTTCATCATTAAAAGCAGCGATGGAATTTGCTACAATGTGCGTGTATACAATTTATGCAACTACTCGATTTTAGACTGATTTTCTATTTTGGATATATTATTAACCACATTATGATTTATTAATGGAAGCTGCGATTAAAGTTGCTATTTGGGTGAATTACACACGATGTTTGGATCTATGCTTTGATCACCCACGTAAGGCTATACCCACTTTACCTAATTCGTTTTAGCGATTTTTGAAAGCTTAACGAAAGCTTCGATGGAATTTTATGCCATGTGGGCGTTTACAATTTTGGAAATCACTGGTAATATAACACACTAAATTATAGATAATGGTGAAGAATATTTGTTATAGGTAATGTTTAAGAAGGTTAATTATAGATAATGGTGAAAAAAAGTTATATAATGGTATAGAAGAATAGTTGAAGAAAATGGTGAAGAAGATGATCTTATAATGGTAAAAAGAAAGATAGACAATGAGGAAGAAGATTAGTTATAGATACTGGTGAAGAAGAATAGTTGTAGATAATGGTTAAGACGAATAATTGTCTATGATAGTAATAGATAATGGCTAAGAAGAATAGGTATAGATAATACAAACACACGAAGTTTGGATCTATACTGTGGTCACCCACGTATACCCAATCTACAGGCTTTGATATTTGACATATTTATATTTTGGATATGTTATTTTACGTTAATGAAAGCTGCGAAGGAACTTTCTGCTGAGTGGGTGTATAGATTTTTTTTAAAATCACAAATTATGTGTAACACACTAAATTATAGATACGATGAAGAAAGATAAGTTCAAGATGATAATGAAGAAGAATAGTCATAGATAATGGGGAAGAAGAATAGTTCTATATCACGGTAAATAAGAATAGCCAACGATGCAGTTATAGATAAAGGCGAAGACGAATAGTTATAGAAAATGGTAATAGAAGATGTAGAACAATAGTTAAAGATAATAGTTTAGAAGAATAGTTGAAGAAGACTAGTTATTTATTGATAGTGGTGAAAAAGATAGGTTATGCCGCCTAAGAAGAATAGTCATAGATGTATTATCGAAGGTAATAAAAGGTATGCTAGTTTTGTTTTAGACTAATATAGAGTTTTGTTTCTTCTTTGCAGGTTAACAGGAACAGAAAAATATATCTCATATCATACTGACTTGATCTTTTGTCTTTGAACTTGTATAATGCAGCCACAAATTCTATATATATAGAACTATTTAAAAATGATATATTACAGTTTTCAAATTCTTTATGGTTAGTATACCAGGCTAAGATTTTTAGATATTTCTCAATATTGTGTATTGTAAGTCCTTCATCGTCAAGTAGATTCAAGTCTCAGTGGTTCCTAGGATTTCTTGTGAAGTTTGTTTGTAGTTGTTAGGCCTCTTTAAGTGCATAATTATATTGTTCGTAAGATTCAAATAAAAGACAATTTTGGAAATTTTGGGAATGAAATGTATAGTGTGATTTTCATGTATCTTCTGTTGTCCGCCAATTCAGATCTTTATTAATATTGTAGACCTCGCTTTGACTTTGAATTAGAATTAGAATGTCAGTTTCAAAATAGTGAGACTGTATGTGTCCATAGAAAAAAGAATATTTAAACTTTTTGGATTTTTAGATTAAGAAATTTTACACGAAAGTATCACACATTATTCTAATATTGTATCAATATCAAAAGAATCGAAATCAATCTTACCCTATCTTTGTTGTGAAACAGGTAGGCCTACTCCAATTCAGGTTTTTTCTACGCTCGATTGAATGCCTGTAAAATTCCGCATCTAACTAGTTGGGACGCGTCCTTAGTTTGTTTCGTGGTAGCTAAAGAACAAAAGTGTATAGAGTTATTGCTTACCTTGCTAATGAGCTTAATTTCCAATTTAAAAGTTATCTCCTTTATCCAAAAAAGCCGCCCTGGTGAGAATTGTGTGTATTTGAAATACTGTAAGAAAGTATATTCCATGCTCTGTCAGAAAAGATTGGTAGATCATATAAAGTTCTACCCACAGCGAAATTTACTTTTCTTCATTATCCGAATACTTTCAGTAATCTAAATACATGTGCAGACTTAATTTGTTTGTTTGTTAGAATTGTACACTTTATTGACCTCTAGAGTACGTTATTGTGGTTATTGACGACCTACTTTACTGCAGCGTGTCATAATGTTATACATTGTAATAAGCCTAACCAGCAGGATTGTTGTTTCGTTTAAAGAGACACTTACTTGAAAAGAGTTTGTTAATATGATCCAAAATATTCAATATGAATTAATGCACTAGTTACTAAAAAGTCACTATAAATCAGAAAACATCTTTAAGATGGCTCGACTCTTAATCAAAACTCAAG